GCAATGATTAGAAAATTTAGTACCTTTGAAATTTGAAATCCATAACCACAAAATTAATTTTTTTATCAGTTTTTTTCTCTGTTTACTCAGATGAAATTGGGACCAGTTCACAGGTTAAACTTTAAACATTTAATTTGTGTAAATAAATCCAAAAGCACTTCCCTTAGTTAAGATATTTACAATTTGAAAACATAACCTAAAATTTAAAAGAAATGCACTAGATTCTGTCATAAAAGTTGTCAGATTTTGTTTGAATTTACCTTTAGTACAAAAATGAAATAACCAACAATTAATAAAAACGACAAATTGACAATTTGCATTGTTAATTTTGTCATTTTTGTAATTAAGCTAAATTTAAACAATGTTTGTCAACTTTTTTGAGAGATTTTGGAAATACTGTTGTTACCAACCATAACATAATAAATCCACCAGATTAACCTAAAGTTCCTAGTCGATCAGTGGCGTACTTTTTGGTAGGATAAAGGTTATTATAAATTATTTTTAGACTTTGGAATTTAGAAAAAATAAGTTTCAGGTGCTTCTTTATGGACCCTAAGGAACAACCCATTTTAATATATAACATTAATTACATAACACCCTGTATATGAATATATAAAATATATGAATGTATAAAAAAATACTAACCTTGTCTGTTTACCAGGTGAACCACTAATTATTTGGCTATTCCCTCAATAAAAAATTTTAGATTTAAAGAGCCAGATGATGTAGCATCTGGCTCTTTAAATCTAAAATTTAAGTGAATTCATTTATTTATTTATTCAGTTTCTACGCCACTGGCAGAGTTTGTTTTGTAAATAAACTAACCTATGAAAAGTTCTAAATTCTTGGATCCAAGTCTATTAGAAACATAGCACTGCTTCACCATTTTTATATCACTCACTATTGGTATTTTTCACTATAAAATCAAATAAAAAATATTAAATAAGTTTTGTATTGCAAGTATCTTTTACGTAAAATATAGATACTTCAAAGCAAATAATGTCAGATGTGACAACGCTGTCGACTGAGGGAAAATATTTATTTTTGTTCCCTTCCACTCTTTTCAAAGTAAATAAACCGGTCCATTTGTTTGTTGGTCTGTGGATTTTTCCAAAATAAATTTTAAGAAAAATAAAGTAAAACAATTTGTAAAATAAAAAATTAATACATTTATTGTCCATTTTTACAACACCTTCTTTGTCAATAGTTTCAATAAAATAAAATTTTACTATCGTAGTGGTGATATATGGGACAACATTACCGCTCTATCTCTAAAATGTTTATTTTATTACTTAGGTAAGTTATCTATAGTTAGAGTTGACATTCCGCCAAATTTTGTGCCAATTCTAGCGTTTTTTTGTGAAAATATAGTTTAAATATAAGGTAATTTTTATCCTATAGATATGGCCAACATGCATAAAAGGCAAATACCTATAAATGGCATGGCATATATGCACAATACATTCATTTATGATACAAAAACTTTGTTGTTTGTGTTTTTAAATTTTTTTGATAAGGTTGCTTTTTAGCATGGATTTTTAGGGTTATATGAAACGATGCCTTTAAAACCTAAACATGTTTCTCGAACAGTGTTTCAAAGAAATTATTGCTACCCGCTTTTATGTTCCCAAAACTACTTTATACAGCAAATATAGTGGAAAGTATTCTAATGTATTTGGGAGGCCAAGTGTAATGATTACAGCTGCGGATAATGGATAATCTCTTGTAAAACAAGATAAAAAAATATTGCATTCATATCTAAACCACAAAGGAGTAATAATTAGTTGTTTTAAAGAAAACCTTCCTGGCCAACGACTGGCTAAAATCTTTTCTAAGGCAAAATTGTGTTAACTTAAAGGAATGCTGAAAATATAAAAATATCCAGAACAGAAGTTTATGATGATATAGTAAACCAATATTTTTACAAAAATAAAGGAAATAAGGGATGCTTAACAAGGACCTAGTTACCCAGCAAAATAAACAAAAATTATGAAAAAAGGAAACACTCAGAACATTAGGAGAACTTTTACCATTGTATATTGTCTACCAGGCAAATCTTTTCAATTTTCTTTTCTAGCAACCCTCAAAGGTTTATAATAATTTTTGGTTTGGGTTAGGTAAACTACGGCTTGTTACTGTTTGGCAAAAATCCTCAAATTTTTTTAATAAATTTGTAATCACAAAAATTTGTACAAAAAAATAAAAATCAAAGTTGGCCAAAATTTTTACAATTTCACTTCTAAAAATTTTTTTTTAATAATATTTTGTCCTATATCCCAAATGAAAGCACTTTACCTATAAAAATAGTTTTTTGAATATTTCGAAGACACACTTGAACAAAATTAAAATTAAATTAAAAATTAATCTTTTATTAAGCAGGACTGAACCACCGAAAATAAAAGTTAAATTGAATGAATGATGTAGAAAGTTTACATATTTGTAATTTTTGTAATAAAATGTTTAAAGGCTCTGTGACATTAATTTATTAAAGTATATGTGACACATATTATGTGTGCCTATTCCTTGAAATGGGCTATCTTAAGTAAAATATTAGGTACCTATATAATAGTAAAATATACCATAATCTACGTATAAAGGTACTATATAGCATATGCTCCACACCTCAAAGTCCCACCACGTGACCACGTACGGAACGCAGTCTTTTGAAAATTTGGCATTTAAGGCTTTTTAGGTTATGTATCTGTCAAAGTATAGTCAACGAAAGAAATAATATTATGTTTAGGCGTTAAAGATGTATAAATCTTTATAACATTACAATAACAATGGATGGTTTAGGAATTTAATAATATAAATACTGCATTTAATGAAATTCTAAAGTGTATGGTGCCAAATAGGTAATATTTTTGTGCATTTGGTCTAAATATCTGGTTTTCTCCAGAAAATAATTTTAACTAAACAGCATTTATTAAAAAAAATCTAGCTTCTCTATTATGGAATAAGAATATGTTTTAAAGGTAGGTTAATATATTAAAACAAAAATATCATCTAATTTTGTAATTTTAATGTTCGAAAAAATTATTTTGACCAAAATAAATAAGTATTTTGGATTATTTAAAAGACTGTATAATATGGTATTTAAAAATGTGGTAGTTTTTCTTATCCAGATTAAAGTATACCTACATAAAGTTTTGTGAATACAAATAGTTAAAAAGCACTGAACTTGATCTACATCGAAAAATCATTTTTAACTTTAAAAATTTTAATAAATTACATGTCATGGAAGTATTAAATATTTTCACATTGCAGTTTCTCTAAAAATTGTTTGTTTTCTTAAAATCTAACTTAAAGTAAGTATGCCGAGAGGTATGCACAAGTTTTGTCATTAGAAGTTAATTTAATTTGAACCATATTCAACAATTATTTAGTATACCTATATTTATTTATGACCATATTAACACACTTCCAAATAATCCACTTATTTATTTTGGTCAAAATAGATTTTTCTAATCTTAAAATACAAAATTAGATGATATTTTTTGTTCTAATACATTAACCTACCTTTGCAAAGCTTTGATACAGATATTTTTATTTCATAATAGAGAAGTTAGATTTTTTTTAATATATGCTGTTTAGTTAAAACCATTTTATGGAAAAATGTAGACCCAATGCACAAAAATATCACCTTACACTTTGGAATTTCATTAAATGCAGTATTTATATTCCTAAATTCTTAAACCAACCATTGTTATTGTGATACTATAAAGATTTATTAACTTTTAACGCTTAAACATAAGCGGTAACACTATAAATATTATTTCTTTCATTGACTATACTTTGACAGATACCTGAAAAGCCTTAAATGCCAAATTTTCAAAAGACTGCTTTCCGTACGTGGTCACGTGGTGGGACTTTGAGGTGTGGAGCATAGTACCTATACTTAGTATTAAATACTAAGTAAAAAACACAACCCGAAATATTTTTTTATAGTTATTTGTCAAATTAAAACAATATCCGATAAAAAAAATACTTTTTCTATAGGTATCTAAATTATCCGGCTTTTACATAAAATCTTCTAACCAACTTAAATACAATGAAAAATGTTTTTTTATGAAGAACTATTTGGTTTTTTCTTTTATGAAGAATTATTTTATAAGGAAATATTTTGTTTTTTTATATTTTATTTTATGTTAAAAATAAATATTTATGTTTCTGAATGTTTATGTATAATAATCCTAACTATCTTCAACTTCAATCTTATCTGACTTATCCCACAAAATTTTTCAATTTTACGTTTTATGAAATAATGTCATACAACTTAGGGTTTAGAGGTCAAATTGTTTATTTAATATTTTTAATATATATTAATATGTCGCAAAATTTTTTAAGGGGACGACAAATACATTTCACTGTCATATTATGACAGTTAGGCGTATTTGTCGCCCCCTGAAGAATTTTACGAATATAGAATCCAACATATAAGAACGTGGGTATTTGGAAATATTCTCAAAAGCTTCCTAGAAGCTCCATAAGAAACCTTCTAAGAACATTTCAAAAACGTATTCTTAAAATGTTCTTAGGATGCTGGTATCTATTGAATGTTTTAAAAGCCCCTAAGAACATTCTTAGCAATAAGGGAAGGTTCTAAGAATATTCCATTATTCCGGGTCATATCTTCTTAGAAGATTCTTAGAATCAAATTTTGCTATCAGGGTACACTCTTAAGTATTAAAATCCACTGAAAAAATTCGTTTCTTTTATGTTAAATGTTTGATTATATATTTCTGCAACCAAGGTAAATGTTTATAGGCCCCTGTTTCCTTTATGTATAGGTCGAAAGCGCATAGATAGGCAACGTCCTTTGTACTTACGTAAAAGAGCAAAAAGCAGTTCGCTTAACGTGTTCCACACCTACCCGACACTGATAAGGCCCAAAAGGCCGAAATAGTCTGTCTGTCGGTGCCTGGTGCGAAACACGTATCGATTGAAACACAGTGACGAAATTAATATCATTGTAATGTATAAACAAATGTTTTTTTTAGAAATTGGTTCGGGAATTTAAAGCAATCAGAATTATCATATGGCTATTCTTTCGTTTGCTCGACTTTGTTTTTATTCCGTTAATGATTATAAGATGTTTTAAAAAGAAAAAAACATGTCCTCCAATTGATAATAACATTCTATTATATAAAGCATCAGAATTGTCTAATCTCATAAGAACACAACAGGTAAATAAGTTTTTGCAATGTTGATCGTTTTATATAGTTTTTATTACGGCCCTTCAGACCTGAATTATTTTACGACGATAAAAAAAAATAAATGGCTCTTAAATCTATCGAATTAGGACCTAAATAACACATATTTGATGCTAAAAAATCTTGTTCACATGCATGTACATCGAATGTTTTATACGGTTTAGGTGTGGATAATACCAAAATAGTTTTTACATGTCTTAGTACATACCTTTAGGAACAAACTACACCAGTTTATACTTAAAAAATATCTTTACAAATCATCTAAAGACCCGCTAAGACAAACTGTCGTCAACGAGTTGTTGCTGTCATTATGCGCATCTCCATTATATGAGAGAATTTTCAATCAAAAGGGGCAGTTTAAGTAAGAGAAGTCGCAAAATGTACCTTAGTTTACCAAAACAAATGTACTTGGGGGTGAAAACTAGGTTCTAAATGAAATTTAATGCCTATTGATAGTAAATAAATTACTAAAAAGCTAATGTACATCTGAATGTGCACCAGGTCTGAAGGGTTTAGTATACAAACATTTTTATTAAAAAAAGTATTTTAGCTTACAAGTACATTGGTAGTAAAGACATACATAGATCGTATAAAAGTGGTAAATAAGTTACTAAACGCTGTAATTGATGATAGATTTGATTCGGCAATACAAGAAGCAAAATATGTGGATGATTTTGTACGAAGCACAAAATGTACAATTAATGAACTAAAAATAAAATATCCACTTCTTGGAGTACCCATAACTGTAAAGGGAAGTATAGACGTTGCCAAACTAAGGAATACTTCAGGACTTGTAACACGGAAAAATGTAAATCCTGCTGAAAAGGATGCTGACGCTGTGGCGTTGGCCAGAGAGGCAGGCGCCATTCCATTATTAACCAGTAACATCCCAGAATTGTGTTTGAATTGGGAAAGCATTAATAATTTTGTAGGAACTACAAAAAATCCTTACGACATTAGAAAAACTGCAGGGGGGTCATCTGGAGGAGAGGTAAACGTAGAGGAGAAGGTGTAACTATGGAATATGCTTGCAATATGGAATACCTATATTTCTTCCCCATTTTTTTTTGCCAAATTAATTTTTTTTTAATGCGACAGACTTTTAATTAATTTAGCTAAAGATTTTTATTCTTAATTGGTTACGTTCACTTCTAATAAAAATTTGAGTTTTATTTCTCAGTTTTAAAAGCAATTGCAGTCTAAAAACAAAATAGTATTCCATATTTACACCTTCTCCTCTAGTAGTTATTAGTAATATATAATAATAACTTTTTTCTATTAGTATTACGGAATATGACCGTTCTAATATCACTTTTTAATGTGGAATGACATATATTCCTTAAAGTATTAAAGAATGAATTATTCTATCATTGTATGACGGAATAAACACTGGTGGCGATATCTCTGTGTTTAATATCTAACAAATTTTAGACCGAACCGACCTCACTTTCACCCAATTAAATAATTTTTCTATGGTATTTTTTGGAAACGTAGAAAAGTATCGTCTGAAACACGTTTGGAATTGCATATTCCGGAATATACATAAATACTATTTTCTACTTCTATTACGAAATATAACCGTTCTAATATCACCTTTTAATGTGGAATTACATATACGTATTCCTTAAAGTGTTACAGAATGAATTATTCTTTCACCGGATGACGGAATAAACACTAGTGGCGACAATTCTGTGTTTATTTTCTAACAAATTTTAAATTGATCCATTAGGGTAGTCACAAGCTATACCTAGGGGGATTTTTTTTTCGATGTATCTTCCGAGGGACCCCTCTAAAAGTTGCCAATTGGCTAAAAAATTAGATTGGCAAAGTTTCAGCTCAACTGCATACCGCTAACCTGTGCCCTGTATGAAGAGTGGAGAAAACTACAAAAAAAACACGACCAGATCTGCAAGCAGAGCTCAAAATCAAAAAGTAGAAGCTTTTAAGTCAACCCTTGATGACCTATTTGACGTTGCTCATCAAGATGCACTTAAAAATACTACTGAAGAAGACAAGCATTTTTTGTTGCTCCAGAGAGACAAAGGACGTCCTGGCATTTGCTAAAGCAGAACAACGAAGAGAAAAGAGACGAGCATCTGAGCAAGATAGGCAAAATCAAGAAAAAATAAAAGTGAGTTTGATAGTTTTTCAAATAATTTTTTGACTTGATGGTTTATTTTATTTGTTTTGTTTTGTTTTTAGAAGATGAATATGTGGAACTGGAATTTTTACTAAGCAACACATGAGACGAAGAGAAAATGACACAAGAAGATATAGAGGATACTTTTCCAGACACAGAGGGAGTAGGGCCACAAATAAAGAGGCAGAAGTATTCTCGAGGAACTGAAGAGATTATTACTGAAAAATTGTCTTTATTGTTATATAGGTGTAGTATTTCTGATAGGGACGCAGTTCGAATAATATCAGCTACTGCAGAGGCGTTAGGTCATGACCCACAGTATTTAATTGTAAGTAGAAGTTTAATACGGCTCCGCAGAAAGCAATTCCGAGGACTGACCTTATCAAAAATAGATTCAAGAATTCCGATTTAGAGGGAGCTGTTGTGAACTGGGATGGGAAATTGCTTCCGGATATTTTGAATAAAGTAAATTTAGAAAGGTTAGCGGTTTTAATTAGTTGTGGGGATGAAGAACAATTGATAGGAGTCCCTCAGCTTGAAAATAGTATAGGCATTACTCAGGTAAAATCTGTGTTTTCATCAGTTGAACAGTGGGGGGCAGTGGGGAAAATCCATGCAATGTGTTTTGATACCACTGCAGTAAATACTGGTCGCAATACGGCGCAACTTCCTCGTCTCAGAAGGCATATTTGAAATTTGCCGACCCATTAGCCGTTAGCAACAATTTGGGTGATAAGAATTGCAGACTTGTAAAGTCCTGACGAATTAGACTATTGCGTCGAAAATTTACGAAATACCTGAAAAGATGCCTTTGTATTGTTTTAATAAAAATTAAGTCAAACGTGTTATATTCGAAAAGTCCTAGTATTTGGTATGTCTGCATACAAAATATAGACCCAATAAAAATAATGTATTACTTATTTATGACGTCACAGTGACAAAAAAATTACTATAAATAAAGGAATAAGTATTATGTGGTAAATTATACCTCTGTCGTTATAGCTACCCGACTGAAATTATTGAGGCCTACCAAGATTTTGGTTTATAAATACATAAGTATTAGTACAAATATGTAAGAAAGTTTAATTATTAACCTTTGAAGTGCATTGTTTGTGTCAATATGACCCAAAGCCTTGCTTTTTGTGATATAAATTTACAAAAAAGATTTAAGTGAATATCTTTTCGTGTATTATTTCAACTTTATATGTTGGAGTGATAATTCGCCTAATTTGCGTTTTTGTAAATTTTTTTAATAAAAGATACAGAGTCATTTGACCCCACAATGCATTATTTTATAATATAATAAGCAGCCGAATTTAGCATAGTTAGTTTGATTTAAGATATACAGGATGTCCATTTTTCTAGGCTAAGCAGAGGTATCTCGCTTATCTTAACTCGACAGTTTTAATAGCTAGCAAAATATTTGTGTAGTTTTGAATTTGAAAAAAGTGCCTTAGTAATATCTGAATAAGAAAATACCCAATTTATGCATTTGTAAGTTTTTTTTACAAAAAAAAAATTGACACCAAAATGCATTATTGATTCACTCATTATAAGACAATAAGTGATCAAATTTAGCATAGTTAGTTTGATTTAAGAAATTCAGGGTGTCCATTTTTTTAGTCTAAGAATAGGTAATACGCTAAACTTATCTTGGCAGTTTTTAAAAGCTAGCACAAATATTTGTGTAGATTTAAATTTGAAAAAAGTGCCGTAGTAATCTGAATTAGAAAAGACCAAATTAACGTATTTGTATTTTTTTTTCAAAAAAGATACAGAGTTATAGGGTCAAATTGACCACACAATGCATTATTCTATTCACTTATTATAATACAATAAGCGATCAGATCATTGATTGGCATGTAAGTGTACAACTTTTTCCTTATTTAACCAACTATGTATCTCTAAAGATATGCGAGATATCCATGCTTAGCCTCGATAAATGGACACCCATATTATGATACAAATCAGTAGTAGAGAAAATTGAATTCCCGTTCTTCTATATTTGTTTGTTGACAATAAAAAAAATGGTGATGAATTATTATATTTAAAATAACAATAGTCATTAAAAAAAAATTGAGGATGATCTTTTAGGTATCAAATACGAAAAACTGCCCCTATTTATTTTTTTTAATTTTTTACTTTCGAGAGATACTGATCTGAAATCGAAATCGAAATGTGTGATTTTCATACCCTTTTTTGCTGGGCTACAACTTTTTTTCTATTATAAAAGTTTTGATAATTATAATTTGACATTACTTAATAGTAAATGTTTTATCATTATTCATTTAAAAAACATGCTTTATACGTTTCAACAATAGATGACGGACCAATAAAAACTCGTTATATTTTGCTAATTTTTGTGATTTTTAGATGACCCCTGCGCCAGCCGTCCTAATTTTGGAGAGCTGATTTTTTTAGAAATTAAGGACTTATATAATAGAATATGTAAACGTTGTTTTAAGTTCTTGGACTTTTATTTAATTAGAGAAAAATAATCTTAAAATTTGAAACGTAAATTTGCCCTCCAAAATCATTAGGTAGAGAAAAAAATAAAAATTTGAAATTTTCAGGAAATGTCGTCCCTACCTTTATCTTTTCTACCCAATTAGTCTTGTTCTGTTATTTTCATTCCTTTAAGAATTATAATTTTTTTATAATGCTCATTAATAAAAAAATGGTAATAATCTAGATTGCTTTGAATTGTATAAAGTGTCAGAAATGTTAAAAATATTTAAAGTCACTTTAGCGGTGTAGCATTACTAATAAATAGATACAATATAGTATAATTAATAATGGTTTTTCAATTGGTTTATTAAAAGAAGAAGATTGTCACAAAACAGTTTATTCCAAATCGCCATGGTTGATTTCAGTGATATAGATAAACAACTAATATATATTACAAAATATTACAAAAAGTAAACAAAAATATTTAAATGAAAATACGAATGCATCATGTTCTTTTGAAATGGAAGAAAGCGATGAACTGTTTGAGTCCGATTTTTCTGCGTTACAGTCAATAAATAAAATATGTACTATTTTAAAAAAACCTCCTATTCCTGCCATACAAAAAATTAATATTTCAAGAAGAAAAAGAAAAATTTATGAAACAGTTAAAAAAATAACAAACAAAATTTCTCGAAAATTGGAAAATGTTTTTGGTGTGACGGAAACTATTCAAACATATGATTATGCACTGAATACATTGAACTAATTGAAGAGCTTAAGATTAAATTTAATGTTGCAACTACATTTAATGAAAAGTATAAAATTTTAAATTTATTACCTACCAAAAAGTTGGATTATTTCTAAAATACAAAATGAGTTTAACTGCAGTGAACATCTTATCAGAAACGCCAAAAAATTAGGAGAGAAGTATGGAGTATTACCAAAAGTTGAAAATAAAGAAAGTAGAAGAAAGTTAAAGAACGAAATAATTGATGCCATAATAAGATTTTATGAAGATGACGAAAATGGTAGAGTTATGCCAGGTCAAAAAGATTGTTTAACTGTGCGTAGCAAGAATGGTGATATCTAAACAGCAAAAAAGGTTATTTTAAAGGATATTTATGCCAAGTTTCAGCAATGTTATTCAGACATTAACATTGGCTTTTCATCATTTGCTCTTTTACGGCCAAAGAATTGCGTTCTAGGAGGTGCTACCGGAACCCACTCAGTATGTGTTTGTTTAATTCACCAAAATATTAAATTAATGTTAATGGCACCTCAAATTAAAATTTCATATCAAGATTTAATAAAATAGATTGTTTGCGATGATTCCAATGTTATTTTTATTGTTATTTATCACGTTGTAAAAAATGTCCAGGATTAGGCATGATGGATTTTGAATTTTGTAACGATGCTGAATTATTGTCAGAAATTTCCTAGAAACAATGGGCTTCAACTGATAGATGTCACTTATTTACTGTTGATAAAACAGTAGAAGAATTCACAGGATTTAAAAGAGCAGTTGTTCCAAATGAAACCTTATCATTTCATTGCCAAAAAGCAATCACAATGTTTAAAAGAGACAAGAGAAAATATATACAACAATTTAGAATGCATAGTATTGGTTGATTTCTCTGAAAATTTTACTTTCCTAGTACAAGACGATCTGCAATCCTTTTACTGGACAAATGACCAAGCGACGTTACACCCTATTGTAATTTATTTAAAAATAAATTATGTAGTTCAATGTAAAACATTTTGTGTAATCAGTGAAAGTATTATATACAGCACTGTGTCTTTTTATGCATTTCAAGGAAGACTACCCTGAAATAAAAAAATACACTACTTTAGTAATGGAGCATCTTCACAATACAAAAATAAAAAAAATTTGTTAACTTATATTATCATAAGGATGATTTCAAGTTGAAAGCAGTATGGAACTTTTTCGCTACTTCTCATGGAAAAAGCCCATGTGATGGTGAAGGAGGGCCAATTAAGAGAATTGTTAGAAAAGCTAGTATATAAAGAGCAGTAGGCAATTAAATCTAAACCCCTCAAGCAATGTTTAATTTTTGTGTAAAACAAATTCCTGGGATTAAATTATTTTTTGTTTTAAATGCAGATGTTGAAGCTACTGAGTCAAATTTATCCACAAGGTTTATGAATTTAATTACCATTAAAAATATAAGAACGTTTTATAATATTGAACCTCTTTCTTATCAAGAATTAAAAGTACAAAGATATTCAAGTTCTGATAACTTCGAGATTGTAAAAATTACTAAGCAGAAACCAAACATTTAAAGAAAATAATAAAAATTATTAGTTAATTGTAATAAAATAAACCCTTTTAAATAATAAACACAGTTTTATTTTTGTCAGTTCTATGTCAGAACTTCTGACACTTCTCTATATGCCAACAGGTTCTGAAGTTATACCCTAATTTTTTTAAATTTTCTTCCAAATCAAGCTTTTATAAAAAAATTATAACTCTTAAATGGAGGAAAATAACAGAACAAGATTAATTGGGTCTAAAAGATAAAGGTAGGGACTACATTTCCTAATGATTTTGGAGGACAAATTGTACTAATTTTAGAAACTTTCAAATTTTAAGATTGTTTTTCTCTAATTAAATAAAATTCAAAGAACTCAAAACAACGTTTATATATTATAAGTACTTAATTTCTAAAAACAATCAGCTCTCCAAAATAAGGATAGCTGGCGCAGGGGCCATCTAAAAATCCCAAAAATTAGCAAAATATAACGAGTTTTTATTGGTCCGTCATTTATTGTTAAATATATTGTGTATCTCCCGAAAGTAAAAAAAAAATAGGGGCGGTTTTTTGTATTTGGTACCTAAAAGATCATCCTCAATTTTTTTATCAAAATCAAAAACCTTGCAGCAAAAATCACAAAAATTAGCAAAATATAACGAGTTTTTATTGGTCCGTCATTTATTGTTAAATATATTGTGTATCTCCCGAAAGTAAAAAAAAAAATAGGGGCGGTTTTTTGTATTTGGTACCTAAAAGATCATCCTCAATTTTTTTATCAAAATCAAAAACCTTGCAGCACACAATTTTGATGTTTATATTTGGTATGACTCAATAACGTTT